TCATGTTCTTTTTAGGTTTAAAATTAAAATTGAAATGCTAGAAAATAGCATTTTTATTTTGGTCCCAGAAAAACTTCCATACCTATTCCCCCTCTGTCTCAGAAGTACAAGTTAATGTGGTTATATTTTATCGTTGGTTATTTTTATCACCTTATTTTGTTTTATTTTAAATTTATTTATTGCCTAGTTATGTATTGGTTGCTTGATAGTTGTGTGATTCCCACTCGAGGTTTCTGAAGATATCCTTCATCAGAGCCGTTTTGCTGGTGCAGTGGGCCCCAAGTTCCTCCTGGTGCAGGACAATGCCCGGCCTCATGTGGCCAGAGCCTTCTTAAGGTTCATGGAATAACTTCTCTCTGTGAAATGAGTGCAGAATGTGGATTCACTCGCAGTGAAGACACTTCGTTGTCTGACCAGTAGTTCCTGCAGAGGATTTTTGAAGTGTGATCTGTAACCCTTTTTTTTTATCAGTTTGTGCAACATACTTCTCTCAACCAGTAATACATAGTTGACTGAATGTTCTTTCACCTGTTGACTTTAACGGACGTCACGTCAGTGCATGCACGCCTGATGTACCGTGCCATGCATACATTTCATATTTCCGTGACTTATAAAAGCGTCGTGTGTTTGTGCTGCAGAGAGCTGGCTGAAGGACTGCTTTCTGGCAGTCTTATCATCTCATGGAGAGGAGGGCTACGTGTTCGGGGTTGATGGTAAACCCGTCCGACTGGCTCGTATCTACAGATATTTTGACAACAAACGGATGGAGAAAAAGGCCAAAGTCTTCCTCATACAGGTACAGAGGCAGCAGCAGGAAACAAGTCTTTGTTTTTCACCAACACACACTGACAGTGATAAAGATGTTAATATCAAGTTCATCATTTCCTTCTTAGTAGTGGAGACAGATTTTTGCACATCAGCAGTGGTCAGGTGTTTTGAGATACTTCACCTGGGTATTTTTATGCTATAAGCTATACTCCACTACATCTCAGGGGGAAATATTGTACATTTTACTACAGCTTTAGTTACTATTACAAAATATAAATGTACTTCTAAATGATGATGTATTATTATCGATAATTTAGCCTGCAGTAGACAAAGTAGTTAGCTCCACCTTTACCAGCTGCAAATACTGCAAATACTTACTTACAAGACAATATTACTTCAAACCCCATTTTCAGAAAAGTCGGGATACTTAAATGCAATAAAAACAACATGTACATTTATTTAACTGACAAAAGTACAAAGAAAAGATTTGACCAGCGCAAATTTGTAAATATGAACTAATTTCTGCAACACGCTCAACAAAAGTTAGTACATATGTGTGTTTTACCAAGGTGTTATATCACCTTTCCTTTTCTTTCTAATCGTTGGGGAAGTGGAGATTCTACTTGTGCCAGTTTTGCAATAAGAATTTTTGTCCATTCTCGATTGATGCAAAACTTCAGTCTGTGGTCGCCCTTGTCTGATCCTCCTCTTCACGATGCGCCATACATTTTCATGAGGAGACAAATCAAGCACACACACAGCCACGCTGTTGTAGCCTGTGCAAAATGAGGCCTGGCATTTTCCTGAAATAAGCATGGCTGTCCCGGCAAGAGATGTCACCTTGATGTCTCTCTAAAATCCCAATATATGCCTCTGCATCATGATTCCTTCACACACATGCATCTCACCCATGCCGTGGGCACTGATGCAGCCCATACCATCACAGATGCTGGCTGTTGCACCTTTTGCTGATAACTACGTGGATGGTCTTTTTTCCTCTTTGGCACAGAGAACTTGACGTCCGGTTTTCCCGAAGACAAGCTGAAATGTGGACTCATGTGACCACAGCACACCGTTCCACAAACTCTGTTTCTGCACACAACTGATGTACATGGCTTCCTCCTTGTGTAATACAGTGTCAGGTTGCATTTCTGTATGCAGCGGCAGACTGTGTCTAAGTCACAACTGTTTCAAGAAGTACAAGAAGTGGCTATATTCGTGTATTTTGTGCGCTTTTTAAATCTTATTTTAACTCTGTCCCAACTTTTGTTGAGTGTGTTGCAGACATGAAGCTCTAACTTTGTTTATATTTACAAAATATAATCAGGCTGGTCAGTAAAACTATTAGAAAATCTTTTCTTTGTACTTTTGTCATTGAAACAAAGGTTCAAATCCCTGAAGGGATGGTGAAGGAGTATTTTTTAAGCAAAGTAATACTGAATACTTCTACCACATTTGCATGAATGCTAACAGTGTTGTGTACCTATTGACATATCTTGCATATCAGCGTGATTGCAAGTTAAGTTTGTTCATCTATCGGTTACAAATCCTCATCATTATGTTGATTTTTCTGCAGGCGTGTCGGGGAGACGGTCTGGATAACGGTGTGGAGGTGGATTCGGCCGGTGACACCACAGAGTGCAGCGTTTCGCACCATCTCTCTGTTCCCACAGATACAGCAGTGATGTACGCCACACCACCAGGTAAACTCCTGTCCGTCCAGTTTATGAAGAGACACAACTAATACAATTACCCAGAGGACAAAGCGACACCTTCACAGTGCTTTGTTCTGCACATCAACATCAATAAAATAAATCAAAATAGGAATCCAACAAGGCGTCCCATTAACAGAGTTTCTCTTGACCGTCCCCCAGTACATTACAACATTTTTTAACCAGTGATTAATTTGTTAAACAAGCACTGAAGTGTAAAAGAAGAAGGTATGAACATAGCAGTCATAATCACATGATCCTGTCTGATCATGTGATTATGACATTTAAAACATGGACGCTTCAACTACAGGTGAGGAGCCTCATGGGTCAGTGCGGTAAACCAGCAGCAGTGCATCATGTGTGTGGAAACACATCACTAAAGATGAAAACCTGTACTGCTGTACTGAAGTACAACAAAAGCACAAGTGTCATGCACACTCATCTTGGTTATTCATTTTCACCCTGGGTGAGGATGTCAAAAACAAGGTCACCTTTGATGAGTGGGCCAGTAACTGAGAAAAAAGACAAGCTTGAGCAGGATTTTGTGCAACTTTTTGGGCCACACTACGAAAGTGGGAGGAAAGCAGGACAAATATTCTCATTTGACTATGCCATGCAAAACCTACTTGGCCATCCCTGCCTGGGAATACCACCCCGGGACGAGCTTTCATCCAGACCACATCGATGCCCTTATCTGTTTGCACGCAAACCAGGATCGGACAGCAAAACCTGTGACTGAGCAGGACAGTAACGAGTAGGTTCACGGGTTGGATCTTGCATGAGGTTTGATTTGTTAGTCTATCTTCTTTGCACTTAAACGGAAGTTGTATCACTAGTTGTGTTACTGTTGCATAAATTGTTGCTGCTGAGGCTTTTGTTTTTACTTGTATCTGTATGCGTAGGTGTGAATGAGCTGTCTGTCAGCACATGCATTACATGTTGTGAATACAGATTGTAGCTTGTTGCAAAGCATTCCCTTCTCCTGTGATTTTATTAATGATGTTAAGGTCACCGCGACTTTCATTACAGCATCTGAAGTCGTGTAACCTCTACTAACAAACAGTGTGAAATGAACCAGAGGATTATGAAATAGATCCTCTTCCCTCCGTACTCTCCTCAGGTTACGCAGCTTTCATGAACCCACTCGGATCCGTCTTCATCCAGACTTTCTGCAACTTACTAGAGGAGGAAGGGAATCGCAACCTGGAGCTGACTCGCCTCGTGACCCGCCTCTCCCACAGGGTGGCCTACACCTTCCAGGCCAAAGGCCGCGACGTGGGAGGGAAGAAAGAGATGCCCTGCCTCCTGACCCGACTGACCCGTGAAGTGTTCCCGTTCGCAGAGCCGGGGAAAGACAGCGAAGGCCCAGCGGCTCTCAGCCACGTCACTGGTTGGCGCTGATAATGTCAGAACACGGACACCTTCCATCAGTTAGACTGTTGCACGCGAGTGTGCCTGACTGCATCTGAATGTATGAAAGCAATAATAAGCATCAGGAATGCAGATGGAAGAGAAAAGATAAGTTAGCTGACGATGAGCCAGAAGTCTGTGATCTCCAGAGGAACTGAGTTTCCCGTAGAAAAAGTCATCAAGGAAACGTCCACTGGAATATTCTGCATATTGTGGAGGAATTTAACTCAGTACAAAGTACAAATTCAAAGTATTTGCTCAAGGTTTCTACTTCCTAAAAGGGAGTTTTTCCTTGCCTGAGTGGCCAAGTGCTTCCTCATGGTGGGAACTGTTGGGTAAATAATATTAAAAAGAATACGGCCTAGACCGACTCTGTGAAGAGCGCTATGAGATAACTTGTGTTTCCATTTGATGCAACTTTACACTTCTACTCCTCCACACCTCAGGGGCAAATATTGTGTTTTTACACCACTACATTTATCGGACAGCTTTAGTTACTAGCAGTAATGGAAGAAGTACTCAGATAACATTTACTTAAGCAAAAGTAGCAGGACCTCATGATCTTATAGACCATGATGCATTGCCGTAGATTAAAACTACCCAACAGGATATAAAGGGGTTAAAATGAGCTCAAGCTTCAACATCTACAGCAGGAATATTAATCCAGAAACTCCAAACATAAAAGAGAAACACTGACAGGAACATTTTACTTTACTTCCACTACTGCATTAATACTTTATCTATATTTAGATACTACTTTTGGAAGACTTTTACTTTTAGTGGAATATTTTTTCACCGTGTGGTTTTAGTACTTTTACTTAAGTAAAGGATCTGAATACTTCTTCCACCGCTGTCTATATGTCAGACGCATCACTGTATGTTTCCCATAATGGAAAAACACCTGAGGAATATCGGTGTTACACCACAGTTCAAAATGATGATTTTGCTTCAGTCTGTCAAGTTTCAAGTTAATTTGAAACTATTATTAACATACTTTAATAAAAAATGTACTAAACAATCTTTAATAATATATGTAAACATTATTATTTGTCTATTTTATACCAAGTCCGTCAACTGCAGGTTGTGTAAATTTCATCTTTGTTAGCATTTTTCATGTAAAAGTTCGACCATGTTGAATTATATGTTGTTTGAAAGCTTGTTCGAGACGACAGAAAGGTGCGTGGAACGTGCTGACTGGAATAAGTCATTTTAATTCTTTATTTCAGGTTGACTTCTGAGTAACTGGCTAAGGACAACTCTGGCTCATTTACAGTTACTTTGCTGTTAATTAATGAGCACTGTCCCCGTCAAATAAATAAATAAATACTGTGAAATTAAATATAAGCAGTCTGTACAGCCGGTAAAGGTGGAGATAACTGCTTTATGTACAAGGTGACTTAATCAATAATAATACTTCATCATAGTTGATTTATATTTGTATTAATGAACTGAATCTGCAAAGTAACTGAAGCTGTAGTAAGCTCTGAGATGTAGTGGAGTAGAAGTATAAAGTAGTATTAAATATTGAAGTAAAGTACAATTACCTCAAAATTGACCTTGAATACAGTAGTTTGCAGTGAGATTTACTATGAATAAAGCTCCCTGGTTTGACCGGCAGATGGCGACGATACGACACTAATGCCTGAAACACCAACGTCATAAAGCAGATCAATAACAATTAAATATAAAAATAACCACGAAATCTGAAACACAGCGCGCGTGAAGCGTGTGGAAGCTCTTTCTTTCTGCTGCACGAGCGGGACGCAGACCAAATGTCGCTTTAGAACCGGCGGGAGCCACGTTCACAGGGGCGCGTGTCTTTATTATGAGGACTTGTTGAGAAGATGGTGAAGCTGAAGATGCCTGCTGGACGCTCATCATCATCATCATCATCATCATCATCATCGCGTCCTTCCTCCCAAAGCAAATAAATGAGTCAACATGGCCGCGGAGCAGCTCGCCCTGTAGCAGCGGAATAAAACAACACACGGGTGAATAAATATACAAATGTGCACGTTGCATGCGGGAAACGCGGGGCCTGCATGTTTTTATTTCACATTTTACAGGATTGGTGCTTCAATCACAGCCCAGCAGAGTTCCCCCCCACAAAATAAAGCTACAGGTAAATATGTGTTATATAATCTAAAATGATGACAGTCAAATATTCTGTTTTATTCCAGGCTTGCGTTTTTGTCCACTGCTTTTAATAATTTATTAGAGTGAAATTGGTGATTTCCTCCTCATGTTTTTCAGACTAAATGGCGTTCATGTCCCGGTTCTCTCGGTCCCGGAGCAGCTCCAGGTCTCCGAACCGAAAGGACTCCGAGCGCATCTCCCCGAACCTGAGCGTCTCCGAGCTGGAGAGGCTCCTCTACACGGGCAAGACAGCCTGCAACCACGCAGACGAAGTGTGGCCACGACTCTATATTGGAGACCAGTGAGTTTACATCAGTGCAACACAAGAAGTACTCACATATTTTACTCAGGGCACCTGTCACAAGTCCTGTATTTACATTTTTATTTAAGTAAATGTGCAAAAAAGTAATCATTTGCCCCTTTCAAAGCGGAGCTAATTTTAATATATTTTATTAGCTGATTTATAATAATGCAACATCATTTATTAGTCAGTTGTTTAATATTGGTTATATCTTGTATTAATAACTAAAGTTGGGCTGAAAAGGGGCCTATTTTATCTCTCTCTGAGACATAGTGGAGAAGAAATATAAAGTTGCATAAACTAAAAACAGTACTTTAGTAAAGTAAGTAAAGTTGCGTTTCACCACTGATAAGAAGGATGTGTGCCCTTATTAAGTAACTACAACATGATTCACAATTATTTAATACTTCATGTGGTTGGTTAAAGATATCCAGACATGTTTTCAGACACATTAATATACTTTGTTTGCAATGGAGTATTTTTACATTATTGTATTGATACTTGTAATCAAGTAAAGGATCTAAATACCTCTTCTGCCACTGTCATATAGAAAGTTCCTCCCCTTCCGTTCACCCACCATGGGACCTTTTTTGGAAAAAAAATATGTACAATAGTCAACGGCCATAGACAAAAAATGTTTTGATCCCATTTAAATTGTTTCCTGAATTACACACATGATGTTTGTCAATTTAAAATATAATTCTGAAAGTCAAGAAAGTCGTAGTTTGTTGTAAAACTGCTGAAAATATGTAATTGTAAAGACCACAAACCCAAAAGTCACGTATGTGATGTCATAAATGTTTCTCTCAGTGACTGAAGCTAACGTTATTGAATCATAAATCACCTTTAAGCACCGGGTATGTGGAATTTGACTCATTACTCTCAATTTACATACACCGAAACAAATAAACAAACAGGAAACCAAACTACAGTGTACAAAAAAACAGACACACCCATAAACAAAAACTTCTGTAGACAGCAAAATAAAAGTGTGGTGAAACAGTGCAAAGGATGCTGGAATAAAAAAATATTTTTGTGCAGTAATTATGCAGTCGTATTATATACATCAGGTGGGTGGATGTGACATATACAGTATGTACAATATGAACAGGTATTTAATTGCTAGTAAGCAGTAAATATACAGGTGGATGTCATCCTGCAGGTACAAAAGCGTGGCTAAGTTACCTAGCTAGCAGGAACCAAGATGAATTTATGCCGCGCTCCTGGCAAAGTATTAAATTAAAATAATACATACTAGTATCAAATAGTGAAACTTGTTTTGCATGTAAACTGATGTAGAAATATTTTGTCAATGTTGTTAGGTAGCTGGTTACAGTAAACAATCTCTGAAAGTCATCTTCTCTGCCTAAAAGTTGTTCAGGAAAATGTTAAAAATGCCCAGAAATGTGAAAACATTTGGAAATACAGCCACCAACTTTTGAGGATTACCAACTGATGCAGCTAGAAGGATACAGTAACATATATTTATCACTTGTTTTTAATAAAATGGCCATCCTTTTAATTAACACCAAGTGCACTGCTGAGGGTTTAACTCTGCATCATCTTGCCACAGAAACACAAGTTTGTCGCGGTCAGCCATGGTTTTCATTCACTTTCGGCATCATGTACCACCTGAAACGCTTTGAACTTGGAAATTTCCCAGTTACGACCGGCATGGAACAAGGCATTAGTATTACAGCGCTAACATGTATGAAGATGTAGTTCATTGAGCGGTTTCACAAAAAATTTAATGTTACTTTACTGTTTTACGAAAAACTTTCTTGACGGACAAATTCAATTTTAAACTGACAAACACGACGTTGACTTCTGTACATATTTATTCTGAAATAAGGTCCCATGGGAGCGATGAAGTTTGTTTTCGTCACTTTTACTTCATACAACATATTTATCAAACTGACATGTGGAAATGTGACTGACTGTATAAAATCTGCTCTTTTCTGTAGGGATATTGCATCAGACCGGCGTGAGCTGGCCAAACTCGGCATCACACACATCCTCAACTGTGCCCAGAGCAAGTGGCGCGGTGGAGCCGAGTACTACGCCGGGATGAACGTCACCTATCACGGCATCGAGGCTCACGACTCCCCCACCTTCGACATGAGCGTCAACTTCTATCCTGCAGCTGAGTTCATCCACAAAGCTCTCACGAGTGGAGGTTAGTCTGTGTTTTAATGCCTTTTATACACATGATCCTTTTTACCCTCGAACAACAAGTGAGTAAGTTGGCAAATCTGTAGCCAAGAGTTTAGAACAACAAGATCATAAATACATAAAATATAACTAATTAATTATATTTTTATTCACAAACAGTTAACGAAAAATGTCTAAATTTGGCCTCCAAATCGCACATAAATGATAACATTTTATATATTAACTTACTACTAGTTACTTATGTCTTGTACTGATTTTAATCCAAACCACAATGTTCCTTAAACCGAGTTGCCTAAATCTAACCAAACTATGACCATGTAACAACGTTTACCGCATGTAAAACCTCACGTCTGAGGCTGCATCCACACTACTCTGTTTTTGTTTAAGTTTTAAAACAGAAACGATCTTCGTCCACACCAGTGTTTTAGTTGCGTATCAGAAATGATCTCCATCTATATTAAAACGACTGAAAACGCAGTTGCAAAAACAACAAAACTAGCTTCGCGTGACTGATAAGAGCCAATCAGGAAGCCAAATGTGATCTGCGCCATCGCTTTAGAGTCCTCCGTTTTCATCTGTCCGCACTAAAACGCTTCCCCGGAGTTTTAACATGAAAACGGCGTCTGCAGTGTCTTCAAACTTTTCTGTGTTCTGATTCATCGTTTTAGTTTATACGGCATACGGAAACGTAGCAAAAGGACTGTGTTTTAAAATGAAAATGTAGTTTTGTGGATGTAGCACAGGATCACATGACTTAAGTAATGTTCTGTCGCTGATCTGGTACTTGCCAACACTTGTAGATGTTGTTTTGAAGAAAGGTCATATATGTCGTTGTACTTTCCAACAGCAATCGACCTACCTTTTTGCTTCACTACAATTATTTGACAGGTTTAGTTACTGGCTATAAGCTTTTAAAAAATATGATTCTTTGTTAGAGATGAAACTCACATAAATAAAAACACTTTAATTAATTTAAACTTTTATCTTAATTACACTGAACAAAAGATTGTGGTTAAGGGTAAACATAAGTTCATGATATACATTTAACAAAATTATAAGTAACACTTTTGTTTTTGCCCCCATTCATTATGAGCTGAACTCAAAGATCTAAGACTTTCTCTATGAACACAAAAGGCCTGTTTCTCTCAAATATTGTTCACAAACCTGTCAAAATCTGTGTTAGTGAGCACTTCTCCTTTGCCGAGATAATCCATCCACCTCACAGGTGTGACATATCAAGATGCTGATCAGACAGCATGGGTATTGCACAGGTGTGCCTCAGGCTGGCCACAATAAAAGGCCTTAGGCTGGCCACAATAAAAGGCCACTCCAAAATGTGCAGTTCCATCACACAACACAATGCGACGGACAACTTTGAAGACGTCATCTCTTAACTTCTTAGCGTGAGAAATACAAGGTGTGGCGTTTGAACTGGCTGAAATGCATGTGTCTCACGGTGAATGCGTGAGACTTGAGAGCCCTGGAGTAAACCAGGGCCGGTATTTATCAAGCTTCTCAAAGTGCCATTTTAGTCTTAAGTGCTGAGAATTCATTAAATTTACTCCTACTTTCAAACTTAAGTATAAATGCAAGTTATCAAATTTCTTAAAACTAAGAATCACTCTTACTCTCCCAGTTATTTAAGACAGCTCGAGAGGTCTCTCAAGTGGTTAGGAGCTGCCAGTAGGGGCTTGTGATGGTGCTGTGGAGACAGAGACATGCATCTTTCAGGAGAGGAAGAAAGTTTCTGATTTATTTGACGACGCACATTGTCACACGTTTCATCAACTTCCCAACAACACCCCCCTAATTCGACAGAAGCAAACACAGTTCATGCAAATAGCTGGCAATACAGGAGCAGTAGGCGCATTGATGGCGCTCATATGAAGATAAACTTTTTTTATCTTTTATTAATGTGTAGGCCTATATCATAATGTATTATCTTGAAAATTCTTTATTGTTAAATGTGTGTTGAATATAAACTCCTCTGAAGAATCTCACCATTCAATGTGAATTTATCTGAGAATATTCTTAAAGAAGGAAATCTCTTCAGTGATTGGTCCTTGGCGACATCGTCATCCAAAATCCTGTTTGCGGAGCAGCAAAGCGTCGTAAATCAGTACTAAGACTGACACTTAAGATTTAGTCCTACACGTCCCTCAAATTAGGACTATGATGCTTGATAACTAACTTTTAAGCTCAGCTTTGAGCCAAGAATTTTTCCTTCTTTAGCAGTGTTCTTATGAGTAATTCTGAGAAGCTCGATAAATACAAGCCCAGAACAGTAAAGTTGCAGCCGGACAGATAAACAACGTGCTGAGACTCACTTTAGAGCAGAGAGGAGCTGCAGATTCGGTTGATAATTCTCTGTAGGTTCCTCACATTCACGTGACAATGTTGTCACATTGTCATGTGATGTATTGATATTACACAAATATATTTAAAGATATTTAGTGTTGAGGAAAATGGGAAAATTACATAACAGAAATATATATTCACATGTGGAAAACATCCTAAAAAGTTCATATTGTGCGTCTAGGTAAGGTGCTGGTCCACTGCACGGTGGGAGTGAGCCGCTCAGCCACTCTGGTGCTGGCCTACCTGATGATCAGACAAAACCTGACGCTGGTGGAAGCCATCAAAACAGTGAAGGACCACCGAGGCGTCATCCCCAACCGAGGTTTCCTCCGCCAGCTCAACGGCCTGGACGGCATCCTGAGAGAGAGCCGTAAGACGTCGCCGCAGAGCTGAAAACCCCCTCAACACATACACACACACACACACAACCTGAGGTATCAGCTAGTCTGGTTACACTGGGGGAGGTAATGGGACCAAGTGAGGAGCAACCTGTGGGTTCTGACTGGCAGCAGGTGTAGCAGCGTTTGACTGACATCTGATGTCAGTATCTTCAAATATCAGTAAGTTATTTATTTTTTTATTTTATATTGTTAATGTTGTTTAAGCCTCTGAAACAACTCTTCAGTGAAGCATACATGAAGACTGAAAACTCTTAAGCCCACAAATGAAGAATTAACTTTAGTTTTACTGATCACAAATTTGCCCCACAGGGATTTACAATCTGTACGGGGTATAGCACGCTCTATCCCTAAGGCACGGTCACACCAGAATTAAAAACAACATTTCGTGGCAAAATCAATTAATTTCATTGCAATCACAGGGATCAGTGGATTTGCTCACTGGGGCAAACTACAACCAAATATATTATCATGACAAAGCTTTTTTATATCATTCGATATCGATAATTATCAGGATAAATGTGAAATCATTATTTCTTTCAAGTTTAAAGGCTGATTTTTGCTCCTGAGTGAAAGCTGAAGAAGCCAGATGGTTAATTGTGGTTTTAAACTTTTCTTTATGTTCAGAACAAACGCAACAATATATCGCGATAATTATCGTTTTATTTCCCAGCCCTACCTTTGACCGTGAGCGAGACTACTCGACGGTGAGACCTTTTGAGGAACAGAAACTAGAGTGTCTTTCACGGTTGTTGCACCATTTTATTTAACCTCCCATGTCGCATAACTGCAGTTATGAAGACGGGTAAACTATGTGACGTTATTGTCCCGTCAGCGACCAAGCTAACTGCCAATTGGAAAGAAACAAGCTCGTCCACTCCTTCCACTTTTTAATCAGACTTCAGACCACTCCACTCAACTTGATCCTGATGTTTTATTGCCACTAAAGCTTTTTGGACAACTCTTAACAGAATCAGCAGCTGATGGCTAATACACTGCAGGAAGCCTTGACAAGTCATTCAGTCTAATCTCTGGTGCGTTTTTACTGCATGTGCCGGATTACTGATGATTCCTCAAAGATCTTTAAATGAGCTGAATTATTCTGGAAGTAGATGAAATCATCTCACTCGATATTTTTTCCCCAAAAAATCCTACAGTCTGTCGGTAACTTGTACTCTCTTCATTGAATGTTTCGGCCCTCAGACCATCAGCAGGTAGAATTAGTAAGGGTATAAACTGGGGCTTGAAACCCCTAATCTTTGTCTCTTTGGCGGTCTAGTCCAAAAAATCCTGATGGAGAAACTCTGAGTTGATAAAAATGTTAAAATGCACATGCTCAGTTTTTACGGTACTATGCTCACTACATAAAACCTCCCCTTCGTTCTTGGTGGAGGTTTTTGAGGGCTGTGTGCAGATTGTGCGGAAGCCTGCAGACACTACTGAGGGCTGAAAAAGTCCGACAACTCCTCTGCATTTTCTGGTATAAAATAAAATAATAAAATAATTATTTTTGTTTAGCAGAAAAAAAACAGTTCTCTTTGTAGTAAATCAGGTTATAAACAGGTTCATTGTTGACACTGGAAATGGTAGTGTCAGGTCAGGTTTTGCATACGAAAGCATGATAACCAATTTAATCAATTTATTATTTGCTGGATGATATAAATTTATAGAAATGAAGAATATAACATTTATATTAGTTGTTTTTTAAAGACCTTCTGACTTAATTGTGTCCTCTAAAAATCAAACCTACGACCTCATCAGGTAAAATGAATTTTAAAGGGTCTGATCCACCAAAACATTATTAATAAAGGGAGCACAAGTGATCGACAGTTTGCAGGAGTTTTTGGTTTATGATCTGTTGCATTTGTCTAAAAGACTTTCTGCAGTGTTAGAACTTAAAATAAGATTTTAGGACTCAACAATAGCCCAAACAGCATCGCCACAGCCCACTAGTGCCACCAGTACAACCATGAGAGATTATCTGCAGTGTTCTTATCAGCCAGCCTAAAGAGACCAGGGTCAGGATTCAAGAGGCCCCGTGCTTGATTATGTGTGAGGCCCTGAAATGACCACACCTGGCCCTGACCACACATGGGCTCTGCTGTCTTTTGTAATTAAAAATTGAGGTTAAACCTGTGATATCAGCCCTCAGACAGAAGAATCTTGCTCAGTGATTCTTCCCCGTAGTTTAAGTCTTTGCAGGTCTTCCCTCGACTTACGTTTTTTACATTCAGCAAGTGTCATTAAGTGCTCTGAACAACTTACACACTAGTTGCAGCCCAGGTCTAAACCAGCACAGTTATGTAGCCTGATGATGACAGTATTACAGTGTTGTCACAGTCTCTACACAATTATCACCTGTGACACGTTTGTTAACATACAGTGTATCTTATAATAGTATTTCTGTCGTTGTGTTAAGTCCAATGTATTGTTTCAGTCAAATGTAATTCAAATAACCACAGTCCTTTTTTATTAGATATCTTGTGTGTGATGATCTGAAATTAATCCAGTAGACTACAGACTTAAGCCCATTTGGACTGGATTAATATTACAGGTGGAGGTGTGGAAATATTCGCTGTGCTCTGTTGTAATTGAACTTGTTCTGTCGTGAAATTACAGGATACGCTCTGTCACAGACATGGACACCGCAAGCAAGTTGCAACACACATAACGTTACATACACACACACACATTATTATATTCAGTGTGAGCTACACTTCCCAAAGATATTATTTATCAAAATATTATAAATTGATAATATTTATCAATTTATCGGCATACTTTTAATGGTAGCAATTTGACAAAATTTAAACATGTTTAGGCTAAAATAAATAGCGCTATAAAGAGAGCAGCAGTACCTGACATTACAACATTACATCTGATGAGCTTACGGGGTCTTGCTCTCCTGATGGCTTGATTTTTTTCTCCCCATTCGACCTTATTTACCGAGAGACAACTTAATCTTTTGATCCAGTTTGAATTGTGCCCTGAATTACACACATGTTGTTTGGCAGTTTAATAGATAATTTTGTCCTTCAAGAAAGTCACAGTTTGTCGTAAAACTGTGAAGTAACATTTAGTTTTGTTTGAAAGCGTTCAATGATCTCACGTCTCGCACCAACATGTTAGCACTGTAATGCTAAGCTAACGTTCATTTCTTGGTTTCTTCTAACTCGATAGCTTAGCTAGGTGCCACGCACAGATGTTTCTCACATGATGTGTTTAATCCAATGACTCCCGATCCTTTCATAACATCTACACATGGAAGCCCTTTGACGTTAGCTTCAGTGACGTTGGCTTCAGTCATTGAGAGAAACAGTAATGACATCACATACGTGACTTTTGGGTTTGTGGTCTTTGTAGTTACGTATTTTCACAGTCTTACACTTTAACAGTTTACAGCAAACTGCGACTTTATTGATTGGCAAAAGATCTATTGTATTTTAGATTGACAAACATGTAATTCAAGGCACAAGTAAAACGGGATCATAACATTAGTTGTCTCTTGTCGTTAACTATTGTACATATTGTTTCTTAAATAAGGTCCCATGGTGGTCCACCAGAAGGGGACGGAATAAGGCTCTCTATATATTGGTGTTGCCATTTACATTTAGGCTGCTCCATTTAACTCCATTTTCAAACTGAGCTGATAAAAAACGGACAAGTGGCTCTTTTTTGCGGGAAAAATCTCAGTTTACCCACATACAGTACATTCTCTGGACGGGATATCTAATCGCTGATCTCACCTCACCCGAGAGAAATAAATCCAGTCCGAATGCTGCTTTAGAAACAACATGGTACCCTACTGAGGTTATTAAACAACTTCCAGTCTGGTGTTTCACGTCAACTTCACAGTCACTGTTAGCTGTCCAGAGTAGTCCTACCAATGGTTCTAAAAAAATATGTAACTAAACAAGCAGTGGGAGACAATATCACTAATGTGCCATTGCAAAAGCTACCAACTGCCCGGATGACAGGAGGATGTACAGTGTTCGGTGCTGAACACGACTCCTGCAAAATCCGCTGTTTTGTCTTGGTTGAGGCGTAGTTGTCTTCTCATGCAAGTGAAAAACATTAAAAGATCCGATGCTGAAATTTAAACCAGCGTTTCAAATACCCTTGTTTGTGTTATTATTACCTCAAGTGTCATGTCTGAAACAATTTTTTTTTGTGACAGACTCAGAAAAATACGTGAGCACCTTTGCTCGGCTCATATGTAGAAAAATGTAAATAAACAGCTGATTGGTGAATTTGTACAGTTTGTGGAGATGTTAAAGTAGCCTATGGCTTGAACGTTTTGGAAATATGGTCAATCGTTTTCCTGCCAAGAGTTAAATGAGAAGATGCCTTCTTCCACTCTCGTGTCTGCGCCAAGTAGCTATAGCTGAGCCACGAGGCGATTAGCTTAGCATTGCAGAAAGACTGGAAGTAGGTGGAACAGCTAGCTTGATTTTGTCCAGAATTCAAAAATATGTCTGTCAATGTCTCTAAAGCTCACTAATTAGCATGTTGTTTCATGTTTGTTTAATGCATACTGTACACAAACAATGTCATTAAGGTGTTTATGAAGATAAACGTGCCCTAACTATTTCTTGGCAAGTAGTGTTCGCAGACTTTGTTGCCAGAAATGAGCAGATGGTATCAGCTAAAGCTAACTAGCTAATTAATGCTAACTCTATAAGTTGGCTGAACCTTTGTCTGCAGCTGATTCATTTTAAAACAAGAAGCCTTTAACGAGAGTCTTAAATATGATTGCTACAAACATAATGCTGAAAGACTGAGGCTAAAGCTAACATGTCTGAAGTAAAAAGAATTATGCTTAAAAAAACATGTTTGGAAAAGCAACACAGAGGTTAGATTTATGCTTTATTGGTTTTCAAACAATGTGTTTCACTAATAAACGAGAAAAGGTTTTGAGGACGAGAAGGTAGACATCTCCAAACCAAATAAAAAGGCAGACAGAGCTGCTAACGTTACCTCTGATGTAGCATCTTGTCTTCCACATGGTGGGAAATAAATAGTAACAGTGTATTATTGTCATTAATGAGGGGTTTGTAACATAAACCCACATTATTATGTAGCAAGCTAATGCTCCTTGGCTTTGGAAGTTGTGAAGTAGCCACAGTAGCCTAAAGGTGCTTCACTAGTTAGCTGTGCATGCTAACGATTGCAGCTAAATCCAATCCTACCATTGCTCTAGTGTTTTGGATTTAAAACAGACACCACTTTTCAAACCCTTTGTATACTTACTCTTACAGCCCCACAAACACATTCCTGCTGCGGCCTCGTCGCAGTTTCTTAAGTTTTGTTTGGACAATCGCTGTTCAGGGGGTGTGGCGAGCCATCACTTTAGAGGCGTTGTTGGTAGTGTTTTTATTAAACTTTGTAGAGAGTGAGGCTAGCTTTTCTCCCTGCTTCCAGTCCTTATGTTGACATAAGCTAACCGCCCTTCTCACAGACATGAGAGCTGATCTTCTCATCAAACTCTCGCCAAGAAAGTAAATATTTCCTAAATGTCGAGCTATTCCTTTCGAGAGGGTTTTGATTTTTGCCTTGGAAAACCAGGCAGAGCAGCAAACAATCTGGACATGACTATTGTGAGGGACAATTTGTTAGCTTCATAACATCATAGCTGGCTACTTGGGGACCATTAGATTACCCGAGGGGCCACATCAGACCACTAAATCCCTATCGCATGAAAGATATTTTAATGAAATGCTCAATATTTTGAATTGCCATATTTTATATAACATTTGGATTAAACCGTGAAGGCATGAAGTTACTCCCAAAGTCCAGAATTAACCCCTAAAAACTCCTCTCTCCGTACATTTTGTGTCAGGAAATCAGAGACTTCCTTTGCTGCGACTCTCTGTTAAATACTATGATGTCCTGTTGCAGCAGAATCTGCCTTTTCTTCAGAAGCGTTCCTCAAACCACTCAGTTAAAACGCAGACAAAACACTGAAATAGGGAACTATCCATGGATATTTTCTGGACGGGGTCTCTCTAACCATTACGATCTTTAACCTTTTGCTATAGTGGATCTGTATGTTTTGTATTTGTGGTTTTACTGTGCTGTGATTGCTCGTTGGTCTCAATTCCTGTTTATATTCTCGTATTATCTTCTTACAGAGACCTTTCTATAGGAAATTCTTTTGAATTTATTTTTGTATCACTCTCTTTGAGGTGAATTGAAGGAGAAACTGGCAAAGGAGATGTTGATGCCTTAATATGTGTATTTCAAGTTGGTTTTTAGACATTTCTTTCTGTTTTTATTGTGAATAACACTGAGCATTGAAAGCTTTGTTTTGATAAAGTCTGTACTTAATCAGAAATTAAAACTTCTCAGAGCTTAAACTGTCTTTTGTAATTCTTTTTAATGGTTTTATTCAACTCAGCTAGAGAGAGTTCATTCTTGACCTTGAAAAAAGTCAAACAGCGCCACTTAAAGGTACAATCAATATCTCTTCTGGAGCTTTCAAACAGATCACGTGATCTTCAGCAGTATTTTCCAACCCCTATAGAATTATAGTTTTTTATGAGCTCTTTAAGGATTTCTCATTCACGCTGGTTTAAAAGAGGAGTTTCAAAGATCTTTAATAAACAGCAGATGACAACACATTCTCACCACGAGGTCCATTTAGTAGCTGTTCTGGAGCTTTCAAACATATTACACGACTTGTTGGTGTTTTCTGATGTTTTGCTAATACTCACACTTGTCTTAATGTTAATTTAGTTATGCAGCACATTGTACACTTTTTAGGAAACGTGTTATATTAATAAAGATCATAATATGATTGAAAGCTCTGGAAGCTACTTAATAGAACTTAAGGTAAGAGTGTTTTGTCAGGAGTATTTTTGTAGCAGCCCTTTCTCTATTATAAGGAAAGCAACTGTGAAATACAGTAGGTGCATCTGTCTGTGATTTCCAAATACTTTCCAATTATTTTGGGGTTTTCCTGTAGCAAAGCCACAGGTGTATGTCTCCAGACTGGACAGCAAGAAGACAAATAAAACAACTTACTGCTTGTCATGATTCATGTCCATGTCTATCTCGACTTCACCTCGGAGTGTAACCAAGTACATGTACTTAAGTACAGTTTTAAGGTACTTATACTCTACTTGAGGTTTTTCTTTTAATACTTTCTGCTCCACTATATCTCCGAGGGAAAAATTGTACTTTTTGCTTCAATTATTTTGCTGTTTTATTTACTGTTTTAAAAATAACCCATAGTACCCAACACACGTACAGCTGAAGCGATTAATCGACAAGTCGATTGAGAGAAAATGTATTATTTTGATGATCATTTAAGTCATTTTCCATGCAAAATACCAAATATTTGATGGTTCCAGCTCCTAACATGAGAGGATTTGCTGCTTTTCCTTTTACTTGTAATGTTTGTTAATAATCTTAAGGTTTGAACTCAATAACAACATTGTGACGGCGTCACTTTGGGCACTGGTTTCTCTCTATTTTCAGAATTTTTAGAAACCAAACAATCAATTAATGGAGAACATAATCAACAGATTAATCTAAAATAAAAATAATAATTAGCTGCAGTCCGATACTTAATAGATCAAAATGAGCTCCAGCTCAACAGCTACAGAAGTAATATCCTGCTTTATATTAATGCATGAGCAATGCAATACATACTTTTACTTAAGTAACATTTTCAGTGAAAGACTTTCACTTTCAGTGGAGTATTTTCAGTGACAGTGAGACTTTTACTAATAACAAATCTCAGTAGTTCTTCCACCACCTCTGTGGTATGAAAAACATGACACAGTATTTTCCCTGAGTGGAGTTAATGCCTATAATAACCTCTAGAGGTAAAATATGTCAGCTGCAATAATACAAAATATCAAAACCTACCGTTTGAACACTTGATAAAACATTAATTTGTTTTAATCCCACTGGCACTGACCATATTCTAACGTGATAAATTAATAGAAACACTTAAATACAGAAAATGAAGTAAAAACAAACAAAGTGGGTGTTCATGATGTACACAAATCATTTTATTCAGATTTTGTAGAAAGACAGACATTTTCTTGAGGAGAAAGTGGGTTCTTTGGGTGTTTTTCTACTGATGCTGCAGATATACACCATCTCATAGAATCACTGGTATGCGGACGATAAAGGACTCATCTGAACGGACAACGGGCTGGAGCTATTTTAGTTCACCACAGTCGGCGATGACAACCTTGGCTGTAGGAGTGCCGTCCTGTTTGCCTTGCTTCTCCATTGCCTTGACAGTCCCGAAGCCCTCCACAACACTGCCAAACACCACGTGCTTCCCGTCCAGGCTGGAGAGGAAAGGAGCTGATTAGTATGTAAGACAAACACATGAAACTGTCCTCCACTGAAAATGTTACTTAAGCAAAAGTAGGTAAGTATAATCAGGAAAAAGTATTAAAAGTAAAATATACCCTGTCACTGTTGTACTAATATATATTCTATAATAATATATTCTCTGATTATTATTCCTCATGCATTCATGTAAAAGCAGGATGTTACTGGTGTAGTTGCTATTTTGTATTGGACTGTAACTAATGAATATTTTCAGTGGAATAATTGGCCTTTTCGATCTCTCTTCGGTCATCTGAGTCTCTTTGTAGTCATTTTCATCTCTTTGAAGTGCAGCTAAACTTTAGTATTTATTTGTGGGCCAAATTTAATAATATATTCATGTGAACATGAACGGCTGTGTTGGACAAAATCCCAGTCAGTCAGTAAATGCATCATGCATGTTTTCTTGTTCGGTGTTGCATGAAATTACCAATACCAGGACATTTTAAAGCAAACAAGAGTTCTCCTAATATTATTAATCATAGCAGTTGTACCACTCCTTATGCACTGCAACTGGTTATTGAGGCTCTCACACTCTGACTCAGCCACGCCCCATTTTCATAACAAACTCTCAGCTGAGGATTAATGGGGAAGCATAGTTTCCTCATCCAAACATGAATCCATTTTGGGTGTGTGGAAAAAGCCAGAGCAGCAGCTCTCTGTAGTTAATGCTGTGTGCAGGGAACGTGCAGCTTTCTCCTCATTGTCAAAGTTCACCTACCTGCAGTCTTTGGGGCCACATCAGTTCGGAGCTGCAAAACAAAAACATTGGCCTTTTGCAGATCACATGGGCGGATGTAAAAGACATTCTTGCTGCCAATTTTAAACATTAAAAACGTCAAATGCTTACAAATAAAACAATTTCTGTTTTTATAGGTTGTCTATATAATTAGCCTAATGATTGAGAGGGATTTTTTTTTTTACATTGTGTGTTTTTTATTTTATTTAGGAAAATCCTACTCATTATACCTTCAAATAAAAGTTTTAACAGTAGATCTTAGCTTCTATATTTATTTTGTTATTTATTTTTATGGACATGAATGAACAAATGTGTGGATGAATGTATGTGCAGTTGTGTTTTGGCACCTTATAGGATATTTCACTGTATGTTTTTAACAATGCAATGACAATAAAGGCTGTTCTATTCCAAGTACCAATGCTACGATGTAAAATCGCTCCATTACATGCTGCATTCAGAATCCTACTTAAAAGAAGTGTTAAGTATACATGACGATTTAAAAATTTTAAGTATTTGTTGTCCCTGTTTGAAGCTTAAATGGAAGTGAATTATAGAAACCTCCAAACACACTCATTTACAATCGGTTTCCTACTCAAGAAACTCAATTCAAACCTCTACCTTTTTCATTTTAGGTATTATTTCACTTTTAAAGTATAGTTAATGGAAACAAATGAGACAAACCTTAAAACCCACTCACTGTCAACCTCCAAAATATTGGAATTTTATTTAATATTAGAACTTAATTAAATGATTACACTTAAATAAAACATTATTTTTTGACACTCTTATTATAACTATCTGACATGGGGAACTTAACAACAACAAAACTTTAATGGTCATCACAATTTTTATATAACTCACCCTTTTGAATTATGTAAAGCCTTAAAGTTGTGCATAATTAAAGGTGTGGCCGCTTTGAGTGACAGTTGGGTGCCGCCACAGGTGGTTAGCCGCTAGCTCCACCAACCCTGAGTTTCTTTGCCCATTTTTGGATCGGCCATAGCTGCCGGGAGCCACACACATTGAGCTTCATATTCACTCAGAAACCTATAGGTGCCATCACGGAGACCATGTTTGTCCTTATTTTATACAGTCTATGTGGTAAGAACAAAATGTCTGATTATGAATGAGAGGTACAGTACACAAAGCAAGCTTTCAAGTTGCTTTATTTACACCAACAACATCATTTTATTCAGATTTTTGCTAACAAACGTGGTTCTCAAAGAAAGATTAGGACGTACAAAATATTCCACAAAGAATATCAACACAGCAGACAAACATATTAACATTTTTTTTTAGGAGAAAGCGGGATCATTGGGTGTTTTTCTACTGATGCTGCAGATAAACACCATCTCAAAGATTCACTGGGATGTGGACGCATAAAGGACACATCTGACCGGACGACGGGCTGGACTGAAGCTTTGACGCACTATTGTAGTTCACCGCAGTCGGCGATGACAACCTTGGCTTTAGGAGTGCCGCTCTTTGTGCCTTGCTTCTCCATTGCCTTGACAACATCAATGCCCTCCACAACATTGCCAAACACCACGTGCTTCCCGTTCAGCCTGGAGAGGAGAGCAGCCGATTAGTATGTAAGACAAACACATGAAACTGAATGCAGCAGTTTGCGGGTCAGAGTGGAGCTCACCAGTCCGTTGAAGCTGTGCAGATGAAGAACTGGGATCCGTTGGTGTTGGGCCCGGCATTAGCCATGGACAGCGTGCCCATGCCCGAGTGCTTCAACTGGAAGTTCTCATCAGCAAACTTCTCCCCGTAGATGGATTTGCCTCCAGTTCCATTGTGGTTGGTAAAGTCACCGCCCTGAACAAACAAAACAAAAAACTGAGTTGACTCAGCGAATGTGGCAAAGACAAATAAAAATGTATTAGGTCAAATCTGAATTTGTGAAAACAAGGAAACAGGACAAATTCCTGCTTTCACTGTACCTGGCACATGAATTTAGGGATGAGACGGTGAAACGTGGAGCCCTTGTAGCCAAAACCTTTCTCTCCGGTGCACAAAGCACGGAAATTTTCTGTAAATAAAGATAGACTAATTAAACATACTTCAACCAAGATATGAAAATAAGTTAGAGGTTGTTATCTCCACTAATAAGCAATAGATTCATACTCAAACCACCTGAGGTCACGGGCCCGGCTGCTCAATACGCAATACAATATGTCTTTTGTATGAATAATTTTATTTTATCATATATTAAAATAATACTGCTTTACATGCTCAAGGTAATAATGCTGCTGACATGGACTGATTATGACACAAAGGGCCCCTTGGCACAGACATGTACGTAAATGTCACGATTCTGCCTGTCTGCCTTGTGTTAGTGTCTTTCCTCTGCCTGAGTTGTTTATTCTATTTTTGTCAGTCTGTTCCGTGTTCCTGTCTTGTTTGGTTGTGCTCTTGTGTATTGGCTTATTTGTGTCCATATACGTTTTTAGTTTGCTTTAGTCTGTGGGTTTGTTGTTCAGTTTGTGTTTCCGCAATTTGGTCTGATTCCCTGTCTTGTTGTGAAGTTTGCCTTTTTGCCATTATTGGTATCACCTGTTTGTCGTCCTGCCCCGCTCGTTGACTGTGTAAAAAAATGTCTTCTGTCCTTGCTGGTTCGTCAGTTTTATTCCTTCCCCGCTTGGATTATTTGTTTCTTAGTTAGTGAAGTTTTTCGTTGCCTTTTGTCGGATTTACCTCTTCCTGTCAGGACTGTTTTCTGTTTGAACTCTGCCACTTAAAGTAAGCCATCCCTAAGCAAAAGGCCCAACACCCCTCGTATTGTTTTACGTCGTTTTTAGTCATTTGCATCTGTATAGTTTTTGTGTCTTTCTGATCATTTAGCATGTCTTTGTGGTTATTTTGCATTGCTTTGCAGTCTCGTTTAAGGTTATTCTGCGTCTCGGGTAAAGACGTGCTCTCAGATGCTGCTCTTTGTTGGAAAACTGCAGCAGAACCGAGCCTGTCAAGACTCTTGTGTAAAGCTTCCTGCCACAGTAAATCCACACCATTCTGCATTGACAGTAATAATAATACGATGGCACCCTGACCCCCTAAGGACCCCTGGACATGTGGATCTGGCCCTCGGCGAAATCGTTTCAGACCTTTAGAAAATATATACAATTAAAGTGCAGAAACAGTAGATGTATTTGAGCCACTACAGAAACTGTATGCACAAAGGAAACATACTGGACATTATTCCTGCATCCATTTACTATAAATGAGGTCATAGATCTGACAATGGCTGCAAAGCAGTGCATCATGCAGGTTTTCTTGTTGGGGGTGGCATGAGTGTGGTGGGACAGAGCAACCAATATATGGCTGTTAACCACTGCCAGCTTTCAACACCAGGACATTTCAAGCAAGCAAGAGTTATTTTGCATCCTTCTTCTTATTAATAAAGAATTAGTAGCTTATCTCCTTGTATCACTGTTAACACTCCCGTTTAGTTTTGCAACTTGCTATTCAAGCTCTTTAGATCAAAGCATTCACACCCTGCATCACCCACAGGCTCGACCCATATTCAGAATAAATTCTTAGCTGACGGTTAATGGGGACGCATAGTTTCCTCATCTAAACATAAATCCATTCTGAGTGGGTGGAAAAAGACTGAGCTAAAGCTCTGTTGTTAATGTTGAAGTGAACTTACAAAGCTTTCTCCTTATTGTCAACGTTTACCTACCTGCAGTCTTTGGGACCACATCAGCTCGGAGCTGCAAAACACAAACAATTCAGTGAAAAAGAAACAGCAGAGTTGGCTGTCAGTTTGACACTTTATTTACAGACTGGAACAGATAGACACATTATAAGATAAACCTTTGTAAGAAGACAACCAAATGTCTGAAGCATTTAATCTGACAGAGACAGCAACAACTGCAGACTTTACGCCTAAAGCCTCAAAACAAGCCCTAATTGTCCAGGACATATAGTGTTTAAGGGTGCAATTTTAATTTCATTTCAGATTAATCAAAAAAACAACAACTGTTAATCAAATTAATCGATAATAAAAATAAGGTTTTAGTCTGTAAAATGTTAGAATATAGTGAGCATTGTCATTTATAATTTCCCAAAGCCCAATTTGACTTATTCAAATGTTTTGTTTTGTCCAACCAACAATCCAAAGATATTAAGTTTACTGTCATTTATGAAAAGGAAAAGAAAGAAATTTGTAAATATTCAATACACTTTTATTTATATAGTGCCAATGCATAACAGAAGTTAACGTATGGCACTTTCCATAGAGCAAGACTAGACAGTAGGTTTTGTATTATTATTGTATTATTATAACAGACCCCAAATTTCCCACTAGAGCTGCGACTAACGATTATTTTCATTGTCGATTAATCTGTCGATTATTTTCTCGTTTAATCAATTAGTTGTTGGGTCCAGAATATTGTGAAAAAAATATCCCAAGAAAAAAGCCCAAGATTTTGTCAACAAACCAAATATATTCAGTGTACTAACATTGAGGAGTAAAGAGACAAGAAAATATTCACATTTGAGAAGCTGAAATCAGAGAGAGAGAAGGTCTCAAAGTGATTAATCAGTTAATCGACTAATCATTGCAGCTCTAATTGCACTTGGCTATAGCCTACAGGCAAGAAACAAAACTCCCATCTCCCATTTGAGAGGCTGTTTGGAATATAAACACTAAACAATGATTAAATTATTAACAATCAAATAATTGCCTAATCATTTCAACTCTAATTGCTTTAATGAGTAAAAACACATCAGATGAGCTGCATCTCCAGTGGTTTATATCCTGACCTGCCCTTTATAACTGCAGTCCCATGTGTTATTACCAGCTGTGCTGCTCCTGCTGCTGCTACTGGGCGTTTCCATCAGTATATTTTCACTCAGGACGATTTGTGTATAATTTAACTGCTATTATATCTATTCATGCAATGAATCATACTATATCACTATTCACTATATATATATATATATATATTTGAAAGGCTACCAAAATGGAAACCTAAGCTACATGAGAGAAGTTGACGCACTGCAGAGCTGCAGGCCTTTTGCAAATCATACAGATGGATGTAAAAGACATTCTTAAGGGGTTTTTAACCTTAATAAAACGACCGTAGTTAAAATAAACAGTAGTGACAAATATAAAGTCTGATGTTTATCTTACCTCCATTATAATCCTGCCAGCGTTAGCTCCATCAATAGTGATATCAAAGAAAACTCGGGGGTTTCCCATGTTTATAAACGCGCCTGTAAGGTTTAAGATAATAAAACGCACTTGAATGAATCCCTGAACGCGTCAGATGCACGGATCTATTTAGGTCTCTGTTTATGTGGGTCTGTGCACCGGTGATGTAAAGGCTGCCGCCGGCCAATCACAGCTGCGTTCTTCTAAAATGGCACACGAATGGACCAATAGGTATGAAGATGGGCGGGGCTAATTGTGAAGAGCTGTCGATTAGAGAGATGTTCCCACGGCATCCCGACCGGGCGGGGCAGTGCGCAGGCAGGCGGGTTCCTGCTGTGAAAATCAGCCATCTGAAAAGCACTGGCGTATGAAAGGTGTTAGAATCAAACTCACCCAAAACAGTGGGCGAGGTTCTCTGGGATTTCAATGGGGGGAAAAAAGAGTTCCCCTTCGAGGGAACTCGAACTGCGTCGGTTACGACACTATGGGAACGCCTCTAGGCGAAGCAGGTCTGAACGTGAATGAAATCACTCCAATCCTATTGGCCTGTTGCTAGAACGGTAAGGTGTGACGGAATAACCGGAGGAGTATAAAGCACACCTGTACACACTCATCATTAGCTTTTTTTTATTCAGCAGGCGCTCTGTATGTTGTTTGAAGAAAGCTCCAGTCCTACAAGCAGTATGTCTTACCTGAAGAAGAAGTCTACCAGCATGTCCGGCAACCAGATGTACAGAAGGTGTGTTTTTTCTTGCCCTCGGTACATCACGGATGGAGATTCTCATGAGATGTGTCTCTCATGTTTGGGAATGGAGCACGCACGGGCAGCTCTCGAGGGGGCTGCCTGCGCCCGTTGCGAAGCCCTTTCCGTGCGGGTACTGAGGTCCCGCATGGCTCTCTTTTCCGAGGATGGCCGGATGTGTTTTCCCCGTGGCGCGGGCCCTGCGGCCGCTGAGGCGGCCCGGCGGCTTCACTCATGGGTTCACAGCGTGATCTGTCGGAGGATTTCGGGACGGCTGAGGCTTTTTCCCGACCTTCATCCGCTGGCTCCGACGCTTCCTTTCCTCGTTCGGGGTGCCCGTTCTCGGCTTCTCCCGCTCGCGGTTTGGATCCGGAGACGCGGCAGCAATCCGACTCCGAGGAGGCGGACCTGCTCAGCGCAGTGGACGATGACTTCCGGGTGTCGGGGCGGCGACATCTGGCCGCGCCCGACTATGACGTGCTGCTGGAGGTGGTAACTAGAGCCGTGGCTAAGCTCAACACCAAGAGACAGGAGGAGCAGACACCACAGGCTAGTGGTAAGCTTGATGAAAGGTTTCTTAAGCACCACGCACCACCTCCACGCCGATCTCTTCCTGATTTACATGATGAACTGAGTAAATCATGGGGCAGACCCTTCTCTACATGGCTTTCCACACCCCGATCACTGAACTACAGTAATGTGATGGGGGTTAGGGACCGTGGTTATGGGAGGATGCCTCGGGTGGAGGATGAGCTTGCGAGCTATCTCTCCCCTCGACTTGCGTCCTCCCTGGAGAAGCCGGCGTTACCATCCAAACCATGTCGCACCACATCCACGCTTGTGGGGAAGGCGTACATGCCAGCGGGCCAGGCAGGTGCGAGCTTGCACACCACGGTGCTTCAAGCCTACCAAGCCAACCTGCTACAGGAGATGGTTCAGAGGGGGGGTCCCTCCGAGGAAGATCTGGCGGAGCTTCGCAGAACCACGAAGCGTTAGACGCAGAGCGAAGCGTTCCGCCAGTACCTCCCTCACCGGTCTGGACCCAAGGCAGCTGAGGCTGCCAGGCGTAGGTCCCTTCCCTCTACGAGCTCCTACGGAGAGGAGGGAAGCAGAGTGTCGCTTCTCGGGGGCCCCCCGAGGAGCTGGGGCAGCGAGACGGCGCTCTCACCCTCAGCCGTCTGAGAGACGCGATCTGAGGACCGTCATCCAGTCCCGACGGAGCTCAGGGAAGACCGGGGTAGGGGAGTCTTTCTCCCCTCCCGCACCCCCCCCCACCCCCCCCGGAGGCCGACCGAGGTCCCCTCCGCCGTGGCAACAGGTGATGTTATCCCGCCGTTTACACGTTCAGGACGCACCTGCCACCATCGAGTCCGCACCGTACTGCCTGCCCCGAGGGTCTGCAGACGGACGGCATCCCGACTCACTCACCGTGGATCTTCGGCGGCTCCCCCCTGCCGTTCTGGGGCTTCAGGGGTCCACCAGAAGATCACACGAGACACCGACCACCAGCCCCGAGGGGCTGGTTCCGTTGGCAGTCTTTGCAGACGCTTGGCGGAGCCTGACGAACATTTCTCCGCGGGTCCTGCGCACTGCCATAGATGGGTATCGACTACAGTTCATAGCCCGCCCTCCAAATTCAACAGAAGAGAGGGGGTGGTTTGGACTGTGGTCCGCCCGGAGCAAGGTCCGGTGTTGGGACAGGAAGTTTGTACTCTGCTGAGGAAAGGGGCCGTGGAACGTGTCTCCCCCCCAGACAGAGACTTCATAGTCCCCAAGAAGGACGGAGGGCTGCGTGCCCTATTTTGGATCTGCGGGTTCTAACCGGTCTCTGAGGAGATTCAGGTTAAAGATGCTCATCATCCCCGCCACCGTGACGCACATCCAATCTGAGGATTGGTTCGTCACGATAGATCTAAAGGACGCCTATTTCTAGGTCTCCATCCGTCCTTCTCACAGGAAGTTCCTGAGGTTTGCCTTCGGGGGTGTGGCTTACCAGTATCGGGTTCTTCCATTCGGCCTGGCACTTCCCCTAGCACATTCACCAAGTGTATGGATGCAGCACTGGCCCCGCTGAGGCTCCGGGGCATCCGGATTTCAACTTCATCGACGACTGGCTCATCCTAGCCCAGTCTCGAGAGTTGGCGGTTCGGCATCGAGATGTCGTTCTGGCTCGTCTGCGGCGTTTAGGGCTGAGGCTCAACGCAAAGAAGAGCGTGCTGGCGCCCACCCAACGGGCTACGTTCCTAGGGGTTGCATGGGATTCGACAACGATGCGGGCACAATTGTCTCCGGCACGTGTCGACACCATATTGGCTGCCGTGAAAGGGGTGAAGTTAGGCCACGCCATCACTATGAAACACTTTCAACGAGTGTTGGGTCTCCTGGCGGCTGCGTCCAGCGTAATACCATCTGGACTGCTGCACATGAGACCCCTGCAGTGGTGGCTAAGGAACAAGGGTTTTTCCCCGAGGGGAATCCTCTCCGTCTGGTTTGGGTTACGCGCAAGTGTCTTCGTTCCCTATCAGTTTGGAAGGAAACTTGGTTCCTGTCCCAGGGGCCCGTGCTGGGAGGGTCTTGTCGCCGGCTGGTTATTTCGACAGACGCCTCCCTCACGGGCTGGGGCGCGGTCATGGATGGCCGCTTTGCAAGGGGATCCTGGCAGGTGCATCGATCCGAGTGGCATATCAACTGTCTCGAGATGTTGGCGGTGTTCCAGGCTCTAAGGAGTTTCCTGCCCGATCTCCAAGGCCACCACGTCCTGGTTCGTTCCGAGTAGAACAACACAGCGGTGGTGGCCTATCTGAATCACCAGGGCGGTCTGCGCTCGCGCCCTCTGGACAGACTGGCGCGTCAGATCCTCCTGTGGTCCCAGCAGAGGTTACTATCGCTCAGGGCGATGTATTTCCTGGGGACACAGAATCAGGGAGCAGACCTGCTGTTGAGGCAGGGGCTGAGGCCCGGGGAATGGAGACTTCACCCCGAAGTGGTGGAGCTCTTGTGCGAAGAGTTCGGCCCCATAGACGTGGATCTGTTTGCGTCTCAAGAGACTACGCACTGCCCGCTATGGTTTCTCTCGTTCCTCCAGCCCCGTTGGGTCTGGACGCCATGGTACATTCGTGGCCGAGGCTACGTCTGTACGCTTTTCCCTCAGTCGCTCTGCTCCCGGGGTTCTGGAGCGGGTCCGCCAGGACTATGTCGGCCTACTGCTCGTAGCCCCGTTCTGGCCAACCCGGGTGTGGTTCTCGGACATCATGTCGCTCCTGGACGGCCCGCCGTGGCGGGTCCCTCTGAGGAGAGACCTGCTGTCCCAGGCGCAGGGCCGGGTTCTTCACCCTTGCCCCGCCATATGGCGACTGTGGGTCTGGCCCCTGAGGGGGCACAGTACCTAGAGGCGGGTCTAACAGCCGGAGCAGTCGAGACCCTCCTGAGCTCCAGGGCCCCGTCCACACGGAGGATGTACGGCCTGAAGTGGAGTGTTTTCTCCACTTGGTGTAGGGAGCGGTCGGTGGACCCTGTTACCTGCCCGGTGGTTCAGGTACTTGAGTTCCTCCAGGACCGGTTCTCTGCTGGTCTTTCCCCTTCCACCCTCAAGGTGTACGTGGCAGCTATTTCATCTTTCCACACCCCTCTGAGGGAGGGGTCCTTGGGGAAACTTCCCTTGGTTGTACTTTTCCTCCGTGGTGCCCGGAGGATGAGACCTGCGACTCGGTCCAAGGTTCCCCTTGGGATCTGGCGTGGTTCTTGGGGCGTTGGCTGAGGCCCCCTTCGAACCCCTAGAGTCAGCTGAGGCTAAGCACTTGACCCTCAAGATGGCCTTTCTCCTTGCTATCACCTCTCTGAGGAGGGTGGGGGATCTCCAAGCGCTTTCGGTTTCCCCGCAAAGCCTGGAGTTTGCCCCGGGGAATATTAGGGCTATCCTGTACCCTCGTTCAGGATACATCCCTAAAGTGCCTTCTTGTGCGGCAGGGTCCACAGTGCTGCAGGCATTTCATCCTCCACCTCATGTGACGGCGGAGGACGGGAGACTTCATCTGCCTGCCCTGTCAGAGCACTGAGTATTTACACTCTGAGGTCCTCCCGTTGGAGGAAGGCTGACCAGCTGCTAGTGTGTTTTGGGTCTCCCAGGGCCGGGCTCCCTGCATCCAAACATACTATTAGCAACTGGATTGTTCAGACTATTTCCCTGGCCTATCAGGTGCGCGGTTTGCCTTCACCTGTGGCTGTGAGGGCTCATTCTACCAGAGGCAAGGCGGCCTCTCGAGCCCTCCTTTCCGGGGCCTCTTGCAGGATGTTGTTTAGCGGCTGGCTATGCCACTCCGCACACATTCATTCGGTTTTACAGTCTTGACCTTCCTTCGGCACCTGGCACTCGTGCGCTCTCCTCTTAGTAGTGCCACTTTATTGCACACA